GATGGATGACAATGAACTTTTGATTATTGGCTAATGTATAATTTTTCAGTTTGTTAAATTAAATATTAAATTTGATCTGAACCAAAAAATAAACGATGTCCATAGTTGTAATAGATACATTATAATATTACTTTATTAGTAAAGACGATGCAAAAGTTGTTTACCCACCAAAAAAGTTACTTACCCTGAAACCAATCCTTTTTACTAAGTATTTTATGGTAAGATCCAACACCCATGGGCAGATGCTAGACACCTATAGCCATCATCTTAACCAGTTTATTATGACATCAGTACACTATATATTTTAATCTTTAATATGCAACCGAAATACGAATACACTATTTATATTAAATAATCAATTAATCAAATGTTGATGATGTTGACATATAGGCCTTTGTATGTCTTTTATTATTTTTAATGATTATTTTTATGATTCCAGACTCTTAAAATTAGTTTACCTTGATACTTTGAGGCTTGAAGTGTCATTGAATAGTAAATTTATTGTTGAAATGCATTTGAAATAAAAATTCTTTGAAATGCCACAACAATAAAAAGGAAGAGGCACACTAAATGTACGAAGATAGTATACCTAAATGAACTTTCATGGAATTAAGCGTTAGGTATTTTTCTTTCAACATAATAAAATCAGTTTCAACCATGTGTATAATACCATTTTTCTAACGGCATAAATAAAAAGTTCGCAAGCATTTCTTAGTATAATATTTATACATTTATGTAGGATACAATAACTATTTTACGTACACAACATTTTCGAGGGTTCAAAATATGATATGGGTACGTATAATGTGAATGCGTACTATTGTTTGGAACAATTATTTCTTAAACTTCAGTACTTATACTGTAATATTAAATTAGCTTAGTTCGCAAATTAATAATTTCAATTTTTATAATATGTTACATTTGTAATTCACATTAATCCATTAAAATTATATGTAAGTATTATTACATATTGTATGTCTATACACGATTGTACAGTTTATAATAATTTATATTCAACGACGATCTTTTAGGTATTTATGAGCGTAGATTTGATATACATAATGAAATAATTCAAAATGAATAAATAAACCGATTGCAATAAATAACTGAAATCATTTTAAAATGAGCTCAAACTTATGTTAGTTGTAAATTATAATTGATTTATGTTTTTTTTTATAATATTAAGCTCAAATAATATTGAATATCGATACATATATCATTTCTACCATCTGGGTCTCAAGTAAAATTCTAATGTATTATTCTAAATTCAAAATAATGACATCACTTTGAAAATAAAAAAAAAACAAGTCAGTTATAATTATGCTTTCTGAAAAGAGCAAAAAAAAAAAATTTTCCTAAAAGTTTTATCGGTTGTCTGTATTATTTTTTCATGTCAATGGAAATTACTAAGACGATTCGAAATTGATGTGTACTGACAACGAATCGATTCTCATTCGATGGATACTCTTATAGCATAAAATAACAACAAGATTATTATTTTTGCTGTGCATAATTATTACACATAAGTCATAGGCAATACAGTATACTAGTATACAATAGCAGTTGTGGTCTCTCCGCCTTGAAAGCAAATGGAAATTAATTACGTCTGCCATGTACGCCAGCCAAAAAGGAACGTCACTACATTATAATAAGCCAATACGAAGACTGCAGCCATAAAATATAATATATATATATATATTATACACAGTAATATAATATTAATATGTCGTAGGTACACGTCGCTTCGTCTCTTACACCGCCGGACACGAGTGGGACGACGTTAAATTCCCGGGCCGCACATATACATAATAATGTACGCTATGCACGTGTGTATGGGTCCCTTCTACCACGGAGTTTCTTTCGGTCGAGTGAAAAAGAGAGACGACGATGTGTAGGGAGAAGAAGAGTTCAAACGTCGTCTCAGTCGCCGTCTATGCTCGTATATATTATAATAATTGTGTGATAAAATTACCCGGGCCGAAAGAGAGCGGAATAAGAGTAGAATCGGGAGAGGAGAAAACGAGGGTGGTCCGTGCGTGTGTTCGTCTTGTTGTCGGGCACGATAAGGGACGCGAAACGGGGCAGAGCGGCGGCAAGAGAACTCGCAGTATAAAATATATATATATATATATATAGAGAGAAAGAGAGACATGTATATACACACACACATATATATATATAGTGAAACCCGGCAGCAGTTTTAAACTCGTATACCACTTCGCCGCACCCTAAGCCGAATGAATAATGGCGGCAGCGGCGGCCCGGGGGTAAAGAATCCCCTATTTTCTTTGCGCCGCCCCCTCGCGCGCGCCACGGATTCTTTGGCGGCCCGAAAAGGGTGGCGCGGGCGGTGGCAAACTATACATTCTTGGTGCGCTCAACCCTGCCGCCGCCGCCGCCGCCGCCGCTGCTGCTGCTACTGCTGCACTCGCCCGCCACTATATATTATACTTCCATGCCGACACGCCGCTCTAACCCTTTTTGCGCGAGAAACATTTTAAAGGCATCTTTGCCGTTATCGGTGTGCAGTATCGTCGTCGTGCACGCGACACGGCCCGACTACCATAGATATATACACACACACACACACACACAAACACGTTATATACACACACACATATATATTATGCACGGTACATGTATATAGTGGGCACGAAGGGAGGTTGGCTCGTCGCGGGGGACCCGTATGAATTACGGCCGTAAGGTTATAAACCGTGCCAAGAAATCCTATTAAGTATAATATGAAATACTTCGACCACGCCGCTGCTGTTTCCGTGCGTATATTATATATAGTGTGTGTGTGTGTGTGTGTATAGGAATTCGACGATAACAATATTCCCGAGCTCTTTGCTATGGGTACCGTATTATTACTATTATTATTATTATTATTACCGTCATGTCGTAAGCACCACAATAAGAATTGCCGTACATATATCTATGAAGGTTTTACCTGTCTGAGGAATGCGAGCTTCTTCCTATCTGCCCGCAAAACCTGCGTATTCATTATTATTATCATTATACTAAAATATATAATACCTACGGGCTACGAGATGCATGTGACGACCAAGGTGGACAAATAAAATAATAATATTTTCAAAACACTTGTAAGCTAAAACTAAACTTAGTTTTTTGTAGTCATATTTAATATAAATATTAAATATATAAGAATACGAAATTATATAAACAATATTATATAGTAATCGAATGAAATAAATAAGAATCGTCCACAGGTTGACAGGTTGAACGATCATTTAGAACTAATAATCCAGATTAGGTTAGGTTAGTTTTCATCATCATAAATTATACAAAAGGTACTAAATCTTCTGATTTTAAACTGTATTACCTATAAAACTGTTTTAATAACTTTAATTCTAAAAATATATTTTGAAAAGTTTTTTCTTCTTACTTAAAGTTAAATTGTTATCGTATAATAAAAAAGATGCATCAACACATGTGTGGTTATTAATTTAGACCATGTGTGAATTCTATTTTTCATTTCAATTTAATATTGAATGAAAAAATTGGTCGTAGATTGAATAGATTGACCTTGTGGAGTAGGTTAGGTTAGTAACACATAAGGCTTATAACACCAATAAATACTAATACATAAAAAATGCCTAGTTACATTCAATTTCATAAAAAGTTATACGAATAAAATGTATCTTCAACATAATGCACGAGATCACATTGATACCTATTAATTATTCTGGGCATCAAGATGATCACACTAAGAAAAACTTCTTAAATAATTATCTAATAAAGATCATTTCAGAACAATTAGCGTATTTTATAAATTTACACAATCTAAATATTATATAGGTATAATAAAAATTTGTAAGCTGTTTAATGATTAATAACCAAGTCAAACGTAGTAAAATAATAAAACAGTTATATTTCAAAAAGTAAAAGAAACGAGTAAAGTTTATTCTAGTTTAAATTTACTATATAAAATCCCAGGGGCAACACAAAAACTACTCAAACAAGTTTTTATTTCATTATTTATCAGTTGTATACATTATTAGTTAGCTTTAAATTGCCAAGGATTGTATAATGAACAGTATTATACTATTACATGTAAGTATAAGGTTCATTTTCAAATAAACTTTTTTATTAATTAATAAAATAATTGTTGTGTGTGAACTATTTTACTTATAGAAGGAACATTCAATAAAATTCATTAAAAAAATTGTAAACTGAAAAAATAGAGCTGAATAGATTTTCTAGGCTTAAGCAAAATGTATCGACAACTATACAGTTATTTTGATTTAAATAGGTATATTGTTATTTATTTATTATTTTATTTATATAGACTGTAGGTATCGAAAATCTCATGTAAATCGTAAATATTCATTCTCCACAATTAATGTCTTAGGACTTAGATAATATTATTATGGTTATGATTCATTAATGAATTCGTTTATTGACATTTGATCAAATCAATTCGTAATTACATTACAAAGATATTTTTGTTTCTTTTTGTCTGTGAACGTTTATTTTTTTTAAATTCTTCGTTGGAACTCCAAAAATTATTAGTACCATATCAAAAGTGTTTCTACTTAAAACTTAAAATATGACATATCATATTTTATCAATAAGTCTATACTAAGCATATTATTTACTATGCAAAGGTCTTTCAGAAAGGCTGAAACATGGGAAAATAATTTTTAATTAAGTCATATTTGTTGCTATTCAATTTTAATATAATTTTAATACATAACAACTTTATATTAAGTATTAGATATACGTGAAAAAATTTCCATTCAAGTAGACCATTTTCGGCCAATAAGTATAGTATTTTTAAAAATTGTTATTTTATTATTTAAGAGTGAATCTTAAAATTAAAATAGTGTTCAAGACGTAGAAATAACCAATGTTAACAGCATTTTTAAAACCATTAATCAAAAATAAATGTTTTTATGTTTATTGGTTTTTGCGACTCATGTTTGATATTTAAAATTGTACTATTTTTTATGAATAATAATTTGTTTTATAGTTAAAATATAATACTTTTCCGAATTAAACGACTTCATTTTTCATCAAAATTTAAAAATAGTAAAATATTTTGATAGTTTGTGAATTTTTTTTATCATGAAGTCTTAATGTATTTGTTCTTTTGCATAATATATACTCCAATTATTTTTTCCCCGTAACATGGATTTTGCTGAACACTTGAATTGATACAAGTTGTGGAAGTCCGATAGCGATCACACTGAAAGGGTAAAATTTTCTATATTTTTATATTGTTTTTTTCATTTATATTCTATAGATTTTCAGTGGTTATTTTATTTTTATTTGATCGACCAACAAACAAGCGGCCGGAAAGCGTTATAGAATTAAGTTAAATTAGGTAAATCACACTTAAACTATTCTAACTACGGAGTCCCATTGACCGTAAAATATGGCATAGAAAATAATATTATACATGATGAATATTGACTAATGATAATGACACGGATGTTACTAAATTCTACTAAAACCTTATCTTTGAAGTATGAGGGAAAGATTGAAATCATATGAACTATTGAGATAATGGAAAATGTTAGCAGTGACAGAAAATTGTTTCCATCATATTTTTGAAACGAATGGCCCTATATGTTTGTATATTATTATGATGTATTTAATTGTATGATTAGTCAAAGTTAAAATAAATTATTGCAGTAAAAATATGAATTCATATTTGTGTAGAAGGGAACTCATTTCCAGTTAAATCAACTGTTTTGTTGACATTAACACTCTGCAGCATAATCTAACAATGAGAAAAATGTGACGTGTTGTCATATGCTGTACGACAGTCAGTAGCTACTGTGTGTAGGTAGTGGTAGAAACGTAACGGAATTTGGATGAGAGTATGAGCGGGGATTCTCGTAAATGGACAAAGCATGTAGTAGAGAAGTCTGTTTAAAGTCGAAGGGAAAAACTATACGTACATATGAAACGACGTCGGCGGTGGTTAGGAAAGGAAACGGAGGGATCTTGATGGCGGGGAGGTGTGGCTGTGGTGGTGGTCTGGGTCGATAGATAATTTATGCGATGTCTGTAAGAGGGTACGGGGGTGGGGGGAGTCCGCGACGAGGAGACGAGACGAGACGAGACGTGGCGGTGTGGCAGAGAACGCCCTCGGAGCCGGGGCAAAAGGAGGCAAAAATGGAACGTCGGGAGAGCGGCGGCGGCGGCGGCGGCAGCAGCAGAGCAAAGGAAAATGTTGACGAGAAAACTTTTGTATGAATAATGAAGCCCGCTTGCTGCAAGTCGAAGGGTTTTTCGGACAGGCGGCGGTGGAGGTGGTGGACGACGACGACCGGGGGTTAGATAGCAGCGGCAGGCAGGCACAATGGCTGAACCCCGGGAAAAGAGGGCGAACTTTAGTTTTGACGTGCAATCCTCTCTCTCCTCCACGCACGCACATACACACACACACACACACACACATATATATATATACATTATACACTTGTGTGTGCGTGTACCATTACTCTCTCTCTTATATTATAATATAAGCGTATAATAAACGTACGCGTGTGCGTATTTTTGTGTGCGTATGTACACGTTGAAAGGAAGCATTATTCGCGCACAAGAGCGCGCACACCCACACACACACACACACACACACACACACACACACACACACACACACACACATACACGCGCGTATAAACACCATTATATTTATATACATAACACACGGGGCAAAAGACGAACGAGCGGGTGAAATAATTCTGCGGAGTCGCCGAGGCTCCGCTGGTGATAAAACGACGGCGGCGTTGACGAAGAAGGCGAAATATAAAGAGGACACGTCGTAATAATAAAGTTTCCCAGCCGATTTATTATGTACTGAAGCTCACGCGGTGCCGCCGGAAAGACGACACGGACGCGGCGTCGGCGGCGACGTCAACGGCGGCCATGGCGGCGGCGAGATGTGTTTAACTATTATACCGAGAAATTGTTTTTAACGTCACGTATATACTCGCGTGCGCATTAAAGATTTATGGCATTAAACAACTTCCCCCCCCCCCGGAAGATTGGGTAGTCGCGGGTTTATTGTGTATAATAAAATAATATAATACGAAAAAAACAAAATTATTGGACACGCGAAAACTCACACCGACACATTTCCGACGGACGGAAACCCAGTATCAGGAAATCCGGAACTATAATAAATGCGTAATAATACGCTTGAAACTTGTAAAAAATATATGAGATACTTACGGTTTTTAACGCTCGTTCCCTGATAGTGACATGGCCAACGCTGAATCGACGGTCGTACTGAGGTGTTTGAAATCCGAGTGAACGGTTAGAACCGATATGCGATAATATGCATCGGAGAAAAAAAGGGGTTCGATCGGGTTTTGCCGAAGGGCCGATACCGGTCGTTCCTGTCAATCCAGTTTTTTAATATTATTATTATTATTCAATTTTTTTATTTTTCATCGCATGCCGTTCCCGGGACATCGAAAGGCTATCGAACTAGTTTTATCGATTGTAACACGTTTATATTGTATTGTATTCGCGGGTTTCCACTGTGGGACCGGAATTACTCGTTCCGCGGCTGGACATCTGGTCCCCTATTTTTGACCGTCGACGGTCTTCGAACCCCGAGGGAAGAACCTTTGTGGCCAAAATTTAGAGAAATACACATATTATATGCACAAAATAATAATACAAAAAACAATATACGCTGCGTCGTCGGATCGACGAAAGCCCAGAGGCAAATTCGCACAGGATACCCCACGGTCTTCGGATACGCCTATCTACTTTGTCCTTTGCGCTCGCATTATTGGCGATTGGCAATGTAATAGTAAATGTGTACATGTTTTCATCGAAATAAGAACAATCCGTAATAATAATAATATACGTAATGTAGTAAATATGCATAAATTATTATATATAATATCTAAATTAATGATTTTATTGTTAATTCTAAAATTGTTTTAGATTTATTTTTTCTTGACTAAAAATATTGTTTTTTTATGTTTTAGAAATGTTTTCGTTTTACGATGTATACGATTTTACGGTTTATCTCAACAATTAAATTTAAAGTAATATTGTATTTGTAGTATGCTTTTACAGTACCTAATCTAATAAAACCATATTGATAGTAAAATAAAAAACTTTAGAAACATTAAATAGTTATGAATTAATTTAAAAAATAAAATTTCCTAACTTAGTAAAAATATTTGACATATTTCACAAACGTACAATATTATAATTTTCAAAACTCTTGTGCCAACTTTTTAAATAACGAGGTATATAACTAATAACTATATTCAACTATGTAACTATCTCCTTTAATCTAATTATATTCAAACAATTGTATTAATTACAAATTGTATTGCTATTTTAAATTGTGCTAATAAGTAATTACTAATTTGTATTTTATCTACGTAAATAAGTTGTAAGTTATAATTTTATAAATTATCTTTTAAAATTAAAATATCTTTAATGTATTGTATTTCTTAATTCAGTAAATTTCCTTCAATAAATTGTACATGTAATATATATTTGCTGGCTGGTAATGAACTCGTTCTAAACAATATTGTATACAAATGATAACTCGAACGTCAAAATGTTGGGAAAGTTGAAACAAATTTGAAAATGTTTGCATTATAAATTATAATACAAACCTAAAAGATCAACGAGACACTGACATTGAAGGCTGTGAACATTTTTCTGTTTCATGGATCTGTGTTAATTTTCATTTAAATACTGTTATAATAATATTATTTGACTGCACTCATTTAAGAAAATAAATATAATTGCTAAAATAAACCGTAATCTAAGAGAACGGGTCTATCTCAAAATGATATTATTTTAATTTAAACACTTTAAAGTGAACTAAAGTTGTATATTTTGTATTTGAACCCGAATAAAAAAATAATTTAAATTTTATATAAAACCCAAACTGAAATTCAAAAAAATTATAGAAACTAAAACAATTTTATGTCAAAAAGTACTAGGAAATATAAATTTAATAAAATCAAATAATTCAATTCTTATTTGTATTGTTATATTATCAGTATGAAAACCTTAATCTAATTGTGTGATTTTTGATCCTGACCATTGGGCATTTTATTTGGTTTCAAAATGTACAATTTTGAGTTCTGTTTTTGAAAAGATTGTAAGGTATCTAAAAATAATATTACATGATTAGTAGAAAATTATTTTTTTAAAAATGTAGAATCCTAAGGGGCATTATTGAAATATATAATAATTAACAAATGTACTATTCAGTACTTAAGTTGATTTTTTTTAACGATATAGTAGTTAATTGTAGTGTGCGCAAACTGTGCGAACAAGAGGAACAAAATATAATAATATGTTAGAGACGACTGATCGACCACTTGCGTCGTATATGTATCTCGATACCGACGACATCTGTGCGGATCTTACCATTCGTACCTACCTACTACCCCTCACCTCCATAATATATATGAGCAAATTACACTGTAAAGTGGAATCTTCTTTGAACATTTCTATAATTCGTCGACAACACTTGCAGTGTACTTGCCCCAAGTTCCACACGTACGAATTGTTATTCGATTACACAAAACATCTGTACGAGTTTATAGGTATATATATTTAGGTATCTGCTAGCTATAGGCTATACCACGCTCATTATATTTTAATTTGGAAGCGTATCTGTACGAGTCGTAGGACGTATTTATACTTTTACACTTGACAGCCAATGCTCATTAGGGAAACCGAAATCCATACGACGAGTTTGTCTGTGCGTGTTCTGTAATAGATGTACGCAAAACATATGAATACATTGTCACCTGCACTCTGCAGTGTTTCCAGATCTCCATCGAAAATTAGTGATAACTTTTGGGACGGATCGCACTATCACAGGCTCCACATCGACACATGAAATCACGTTAATTGGTATTTAGTAGCCTTTTAACTCTTGATATTTAACGTCTTCACAAGCGTGCGTCTTGTCAATCACGCACAATATTTGTTTACGTCAACACCTGTCAGGTTAGACTACCAACACATGTGTAATCAAATATAATAGAATAAATACAATAAATATTATATGCACAATAAATTATACTGCAAATAATTACCTATTAAGAATATACAATATATTTTATTGATATCACACTCATCCTAAAATCTGCAGTGACGTGTTGTTTAAATAAACGCATGCTAAAATGAAGTGCTGAAACCTTTAGAAACATTAAATAATTATGAATTAATTTGAAAAATAAAATATATTGTTCCAAATAATTGGAAATAATTTTTACTATAAAAATGTATTATGTGAAAATATTGATCGAAATTAAATAAGTTTGCTCTTAATGAATAATAATCATAGTTATATAACATATAAATATATTAGAAAAACTTGATAGAACTTTGACAGTTTGACTAATAACAATTTAAAAAAAAAGCTGTATCAATAACTTGAAATTTTATACATTTCAGCTTCGACAACTTAGGCCATCAGCAAAAAAGATCAATGACTATAGAACATTTTATTATGTCTAGATATTAAAAATCATAGAATTATTTCTACTAGAAAAATGATTACAGAAAGAAAAAAAACTCACATCATTTTAAAATCAATACATTGATCGATCCGACGTAATTCTCATATGGTAAAAACTAAAAATGGTTAAGGACAAATGGGTTTTCACATATATTATAATGTAATTCGAACATCAAAACGTTTATATCCGTGTAAAAAGTGACGAATTTGAAGTTTTCTACTATAGTAGGTGTTTAACAGTAAACAATCATAATGCAAATAAAACAAAATAACAAAAATAGAAAATAAAAAGTAAATTAAATCTGTATATACCCATCTTTGATTTTAAATATTCGTACCTTGACCATAACTTGGTCACCCTGAATTTTTTTTTTTAATTAGATCAATTTTAGCTGTGAACATTGTTTATTGACAATTGTATTAGAAATAATTTTATATTTTTATAAAACAATAATAATGAAAATAAGAAGTTTTTATATTTTGTACGTAAACATTCTGAGTGTTCAGTTTCTTTCTTCAAACAGTGTGGGACCCCTAAAATCGTTTTAAAGTGCAAACGGCCTTGATTAGTACAAACTACTGAATTATAATATTGTAACTTTAAACAGTTATACTCTTAAGTTTTAAATTATAAATGATATAAATACACCATAGACTGCACATGAATACAACCGTTCACACTTACACCATGATGCATAGTTTCATACAAAAAATATTTAAATAATTGAATGGAAAATATAAAATAATAATATTAGGTATACACAATCCACGTCTCGGACGACTCATCTATATTGTATCATAATATTATTAATAATTCATATACTGTCACCAGAAAAATATTAGTTTCCAAAATCATCAATTATAAACAATAATAATGGACAAATTATGTTAAAAAATTTTGATTAATAATTGAATTAAAAAAAAACTATTATTGTGACAAATGAGTTTTGTAAATGTACGATTTCATCATAAAAACTGAGCTAAAGATTTTTGTTGCAAAGTTTTCAGATTAAAAGTCTGAATTGTATACAATATATCAGTGTAAATAAATGTATATAATTATTATATTTTTCTTTTTATTGAACAAAACGTTTCAACGGCAATGGTTAGTAGCGTACAATTATTTAAATACATTATTTATTTTATTTTTTAAACAATATGTTTTTGATATTTTTTAAAATTATATTACAATTCTGATATTATAAAAAATTTAAAACTTCGGTGTTCACTTCTTAGCTGGGTCTCGGGATTTCGAATAATTGCTCAGTTAAGTCATTTTATTTTCTAAGGTTTTCGTATTTTAAACATTCTGTTAACATATGTTTTACTGTTAAATGTATTCTAAATGTGGTGCATAGGTGCATATAGACGAGTGTTCTTTGGACATTAAGAAGCCGTGAATTCGTATTATTATTTATTATACACTTTAATTTATTTGATGTGAAAATATGATATTATATATATTTCAATTCTGATTACCTATAGGCATTAATTTACAAAAAAAAACGAAAAGAATTAGATAAAAAGAAAATAATAAACGCCCAATTTAATCCTATTATATCCGAATTAGTTCGTTTTTTATGCAAACGGGACAAATAAACCTTTTGTGGTTGTTGACAAATTTAATTTCTACCAGAAAGAGTTATGATATACACGTATCAAGAGGAAAAAAAACGACCCAAGTGCATATTTGTGTAGGTAAATGGTCGGAAAAAATTAACTTGTAAAAATATCAGCCTCAGATAAAAAGGGTAAACAAGCAAATAAAAAAAAACCACTGGCACGCGCTCGGAACCCCATTCGTTGCGTGGAGTGACGAAGGGGAAAACTGGTAAAAAAAACTTTATGGCGACCTTTTTTTCAGTCTGTTGACACTGTCACTTAGCACAGGGATTTACACGGTAAAACGTTTATTTTTTAATAAAGATAAAAAAGGATAATAGTTTTTTGTTTGAAAAGGAATTTATTTTATCAAACGTCCAACTAGTTCTTCCCAACATGTTCATGAAGTCCTTCGTCCCACTTTGCCTTACCGACTTACCAAATACCACCAAATAATTGAAAGTCATTTTTTTTTTTTTTTTACATATTGAAAACCTATATTTATATGTTGTATGGTTTTATTTATTTTTTAATCATCTTTTTCATTCTTAAATGTGATGATAAGTCAATTAACTCAATTGAATTGTATTATTCACAAAATTGGAACACATTTTTGCCATGTCGTACGTTTGTAAGACGGAGACAATACACGAAGGTGTGGAGTCCTCAGTCCTATTAAAACATTGATTTTAGGATTGTATACTTTTATAGACTGTAA